AATAGGTTCATCCGCAGACTCTGGGTTTTCTAGGATTAATGAATTGGGGTGGTCTGGTTCAAGCTTAGACAAGCCCTTTCCCTGCTCTGTGTTAAGGTGTCTTCCCACATAGTGAGAGGGCTGGAATAGGGCTCTCTAACCGGGCAAGGCAACCGCTATGTATTAATAGTTCCCATGGGAAAGTGTAATCCAAGCTCCAAATTCATTTACCAATGAATTTCTGAGATGTGACCTGTTTGCTTTTTAAAGCTGACTAAAGGCAGACCCCAAATGCCAAAGTGACCAAATTCTGGAGAGGGAAATAAGGGGTGTGAGGCACCGCCTCCAGGATAAAATACAAACTCATCAGCTTGGCATTTAAAGCCCTTCCCCAACTGGCACTAACCTTCCTTTCCAGCCTTACTGAACAGGATTCCCCTTCAAGTTTTTAACACTATGTTCCAGCCAGACTCTCATGCAGTTCTAGGGATCCAGCATCCCACCTCTGGCCCCTGCAGTTTGCCTCTCACATCTTCAATGTGCTGCCTGCCTTCTGGCCTTTGCCTCTTACAGTCCTTAGCTTCCTTAAATGCTCAACTCATATTCCTGCTCCTTGACTTATCTCTTGATTTGCCTTCATGGCAATTTCATTCTTCAAAAGGTAGAGAAACCAAAAGGGGAAATTCTACTCTGGACCTTAGACTAATAGGGAGGCACTAGTGGTTAGGGTGGAGAGGATGGGAACCTTAAGGGGAAGTGACCACTGCATCCTAGAGTTTGTGATAGAGGAGAGGGAATTTGGGTATCTGAGTCTGACATGCAGGTACCCTCAGGATTAGGAAAGCAGATTTCAAAGACTTCAGAGGACAGATGAGTAGGGAGGCAAGGAGAATGCTCATGAATGAAATTCTGAAGCCATGAAGGGAAACAACTCCATTGAAGAAGAAAAATGGCATTTGTCTGAAGAAACCAACATGGATACACAGGGAACTCACCAATCAACTTACATTATAAAAATAAATGAAGAAAAAATGGAAGCAAAAACAAGTAATGAGGATGAGGATGACAGCACAGCTGAGTTGTATAAAAATACTTAAGTTGAGAATGAGCTGAGAATGGCAAAGGAAACACGGAAAGGATCGCTTAGGGAGCACGGGGCGCTCAATCGCTATTTTTTTGTTTTCTCCTTCGAAGGAGAATGACCTTTACCCAGGAAACGACCGAACATAAACAACTCAAAAGCAGATCAGTAAGGAGCTAACAAAAGTGCCTGGATGAACCTATGTCACCCAGGCTAGAAGAGCCGCATCTTCAGGCCCTCAAACAGAAGGCAGATGCGACTGCTGAGCCACTGTCTGCCACAGCTGGTCATGGAGAGGGAGTGGGAGAAGGGAAAATGCTGGTTGTCCCAATTTTTGCGACAGAACAGAGCCTGCAAATAGAAGAGTGAGCTTGACTTCAATTCCTGAGAAAACCCTAGAAATTATCATTATGGAGCTAACTGGCAAACATTTATTTATAAAGAGAAGTGGGGATTACACAGAGCTAGCACAGCTTTGATTAATGGCCGATTAACCTCATTTTCTTTTTTGACAGGGTTTCTGGGTTAGTAAATGAAGGAAAGGCTGGGGATGGAGTTTATGCAGATTTTAGCAAAGCTGTTGATAAAACCTCTTATCACTTTTGTGGAAAAGCTATGCATTAGAAAATAACGTAATTAAATGGATTCAGAAGAGGCTGGCCTCACTGAGGGGTGGCCAGTGACTCTGTGTCAGCATGACAGGAGGACCTAAGGGGAGCTCCTTGAGGATCTCTGCTTGGCCCCGAGTTGTTTGACATTATTATTAATGGCATGGGTAAAAGACTAAGTGGCAGGCTCATCCAGTCTGCAAATGACATCCAGCTTGGAGGAAGATGGCACTCTAGAGGACTGGCAGGATTCAAAAGGATTTCAACAGGCTGGAGCACTGGGTTGAATCTAATAAGACAAGATTCACAGAAACAAATGGAAAGCCTGAACATAGGCACAAAAATTCAGCTTCATAAGCATAAGATGGGGAGGCATGGAGAAACAGCAGCTGGTCTGAAAAAGATCTGGGGGTGTAAGTGGACTACAAGCTCTACAGGAGTCAGCAGTATGCTGTAGAAGCCAAGGCAAGCTGGGCTGCCTTAAGAAGGGCATAGTTTTCAAGAACATGGAGGTGTATTTCCACCTTAACCTGATCTCATCAGACTTCATCTCAAGTACTTCATCAAGTTAGAGGGCAACCAGGTTGTGTGAGGCCCTGAGTCCAAGTCAAGGACTCTGAGGACATCATAGGGATGTCCTGCAGGGAGTCTTAACTGAGTTTCCATAGAGAAGACTGCAGAGAGAAGGAAGGAGGCACGTTTAACCTGCAGAAGATTCAGATCTTCAAGTATATGAAAGCCTGTCACATGAAGGCAGGACGAGCGTTGTTCTGTTTGGCTTCAGAGGGCAGAACCAGGAGCAGCAGATGGGAGTTCCGAAGAGGCAAATCTGGGATTGAGATCTGAAAAACTTCCTAGCAACGACAGCTCTCGGAGAGCAGAATGGACCACCTTGACAAGTGCAGGATCCCCCCTCTACTTGGAGGCTGGATCACCACCTCTCAGGCAAGTTACTGGAAAGACTCCTTTCACATACAGGTTGGACTATAGGACCAACGAGTCCCCTTCCAACTCTCAAATGCCATGACTTCTACAGGATTTCCTATAGAAAATGTGATCCTCCCTTGCCGTTAAATACGGCTCTCCTCAAATTATCATGCATATACTTCTCTGTTGCTAGGTCTCCCTGATGTAGATTGCAAGCCCCTTCAGTGTACGGACTTCTGTTGTTTTTGTACTCTGAGCCCGGGGCTCCACCCATCATAGGAGTGTAATAAATGCTTGTTGTATTGCACTGGATTCCCAGGCAACGTGGTGTCTCACGTACACAAATGCCATCTTCTGTTTTGGTTTTGTCAGCTCTCAGTAATTACCGAGCCAGTGTACTAGGAGGAACAGTGGGAAGACTTGGCTCTGGGCAGAGGCAGCCTTGCCACTCATAAGCTGTATGACCATGGACGAGGCCTCGACTTCCTTATTCAACTCAAAAATTACACGCAAGGCACCATACTAGAGACAAACAGTCTTTGACCTCCCAGAACTTATTCTAAAAGATGAGGATAATCCTTCTGCTACCTACCTCACAGGGCTTCTGTGAGAATCACACCAAAATATATGTGAAAGGTTCCCCCTTCCCCTTTAAATATTGAGAGTTCTGCACACGTAAATCACTAGCTTGCTAGACTTCGGGCTCCTCTGAAACAATTTCTGCCTGCCACCTTTGGGAAGAATTTGGTAAATGCTTAAATGACAAATCTGTAAAAAATCCTAAATTGAACACAGGGCTGGGGACCTGATATGTACAAGAGTTTATTTTATGAAGATACTTTATTGGAGTCCGGGTTTTAGAGAACACCAACCTCGGGTCTTCCCAAACACCAGTCCATTTTTTTCCCCTTAACCATCTGTAAAACTTACCACTTAATGGATAAAGAAAAATGACCACTTCCTACCTCACACCCCTCTCACCGTAGGCTCCACCCCGCTGAGATTATAGAGCTGTCCAAGGTAGACAATTTAGCTATTTAAAGGTCCTGTATAATCTGGGTAGGGAAATACACAGCTGCCTTTCTACCTCCCCTCTCAGCAGAACAGAAAGCCTTAGGGGGAGAAAGCCAAGGTCTCTTTCAGCAAGCCTGCACTAATCTAAATTCTTGTCCCTACCAGAAAATTCCTACTCTGTCTTTTGAGCACACCTCCCATCCTAGCTACTGACTAGGGTCACTCTCTCAGGTTCTCTAACAGCCCCAGATGAGGTTCATGAAGCTTGACTATCTATAGTTAGTCTTAACCAGGTTTCTCTAGAGAAGCCTGTAGAAAGACTGGAAGGAGGGACAACTTCACAATGAGAACCGTCCAAGAGTGGAATTGTTTTCCTTAGCAGGGAGCGAGGTCCCAATCACTAGAGACCTCCACATGCAGGCCAGATGTGCACTTGCTAAATAGGATTTGGGGGAGGGAGGAGATTCTTGTCCAATCAGGTACAAGTGGGCCTGGACAATCTCTCGAAGTCTCTTCCAGTCCTGAGGTCAAATCTTCCTAGAGCACTTTGTCTATGACTTTTCTTGGTCGGTGTTTAAGATTTAAAAGTTTCAGTGTGTTCGCCCCTAGAAGGCTGGATTTGCAGTCTGGGATCCTGGCTCTGAATCTCCGTTTGCTACTCACTACCTGATGACTCTGAGCAAGTCGTTAGCGGCTCTGAAGCCTCAGTTTCTCCCATCTGTAAAATGAGGGGGTTGGGCTGGGCACCTATGACACTAGTGGTCAGCCTGTCCCATTGTCGTTGATCTCCCCAGGGCTCTGCACGTAGTAGGCGCTAAATACACATTCGCTGAATTGAAAAGAATTCGCTGTATCGGCAGCCCGCGCTCTCTGGGCCTCAGTTTGCCCGTCGGTAAAATGGGGCGCGAGGATTTAGACGAGATCCCTTCTAACGGGCCTCGGCGGCCGGGCTGGGCTGGGCTACGAAACCCCTGCCCCGCCACGGTACCGGCGCTGACCACGGCCGAAGGAGGCGCGGACAGCCGTCGGGCTCCCGCGGGCCCCGGGCCCCGGACCTCCCGCCCTGCCCTCCATCCCGGCCCGCACCTTGACGCGCTGCGCCTCGTTGATGCACTGCTGGTAGCTGCCGATGTAGAAGGCGTTCTTCACGTCGAACAGCTCGTCCACTTCCCCGGGGCCGCCGGGGGCCGGGCCGGGACCGGGAGCCGGAGGTGCCATCTTGTTAGCGACACGTCTACCGAGACGAAGAGGAAGTGACGGAAGCCAGCGCTCGCGCGGCCCTCTGGGAATCGTAGTTCCTGCCTTGAACAGAGCCGGGAGGGGGACTGCGGGAAGAGGAGGGAGGCGTGTTCAGGAGGTGACGTAGAGGAGCGCCCCGGAAGTGCGGCAGGACCGGTGCGGGAGGAGCTTCTCGGGGGAGGCTTTGGTTCTCGTCAGGAGCCGGCGGGGGCTGCGGCTGTGGTGGAGGAGGAGGAGGGAGGAGGCTGCAGCAGCGGCAGCGGCGGCGGAGGAGCCATGGCCGCCTTCGCCGAGCTGGGGGCTGGCGTCGTGGCTCGTGGCGCAGTGTAAACAGCTGGGCCTGAAGCATCCCACGCCTGTGCAGCAGAACTGCATCCCTGCCATTCTGGAGGGTGAGCGGCCTCGTCTCCCCTCCCCCCCCTTGGTGGTAGATGAGAAGGCCTGGGTTCAAATCCCGCCTCCACACGCCACTGTGAAGCGAATGTCTCTCTGAGCAAGTCGCTTTACTTCTCTGCCTCAGTTTCCTCATCTGTAAAATGTCGATGATAACAGCACTTACTCTTGGGGGTGTTGGAAGGATAAAATGAGATACTATACGTCTAGCTCTTTGCAAATCTTAAAGGGCGATAGCCTTTTACCCGTTACCATCGCTGTGTCGGCATTCTCTGGGCCTCATTACCATCCCCCTCCATCTTTCTCAGCCACTCATTCCTTTTTAAAAAATATATATGTGTGTGTGTGTATGTGTTTTTTTATTTATTTTTAGTTTTCCACATTTCAATCATCCATCAGATTTTGAGTTCCAAATTTTCTCTCCCCTCCCCCACCCCATGACGTCGTGTGAATTGATAGCCCCTCATTCTTTCATCACCTCCCCTCCCTCCCTTTCATTCCCCAATTTCTTCAACCTCCAACTTGCCTCAGCCTTCATCCTCTCCCTCCCTCATCCCCCAGCATGGCATCCACCCTGCTCCGTATGATAATAATCTCTGACGTTTATATAGCACTTTTTTCCTAAGTGATCTCATTTAAGACCTCAGTTCTTCAGCTCCCCTTCCCATCCCCCTCAGTTCCCTTCCTCATTCCCTGCTGTCTCCTTTGTCCTCAGAGTCCTTGCCTTTCATCTTTCTAGGTATCCTGTGGATTCTTCCTCGTGCCTGGTCCTTTCCCTCCTTTTGCCCCTCTAGAAAGTGTCCCTCCGGATTCCCTCCCCTCTTCCCTCATGGGCTTTAAATTTCTCCAGGCTCCTCCTATCTGAGGCAGCAGCTGGTCCAGCGAAAAGAGTCCTGGAGTGAGAATCAGGAGACCCACCTGGATTCTGCCCTGTTGGATGTTTGCCTGTGCTGTGGACTTACTGGGGTGCTCTGGAAAAGTTATTTCCCTTCTGGAAGGTGGGGCGAATAATATTGGCACTACCTCACAGGGACAAGATTAGAAAAGGTATTTAAAATCACTTGGTAAAGTACTTTATGAGCAAAAGATTATGATTATTTTTGTTGTTGTTGTCTTAGGTCGAGACTGCATGGGATGTGCCAAGACAGGCAGTGGTAAGACCGCTGCTTTTGTTCTGCCCATTCTGCAGAAGTTGTCTGAAGACCCCTTTGGCATTTTCTGTCTTGTGATCACGCCCACCAGGTATGGCCAGGTTCTCCTTTCCAGTGAGATAACGTTTACTGCAAATTGAAATCGATTACAGCAAAAGGGCATCATGCACAGTGCAAGGGGAAAGCCTTGAAGAAAGAGGATCCAGACCCAGATCCACCCCTTTCTTGCTTTCTGATGTCAGACGACAGTTGTTTGTTCGCTTGTTTCAGGAGCGTCTGACTCTCCATGACTCCATTTAGGGTTTTCTCAGCAAAGATACTGGAGTGGTTTGCCGCTTCCTTCTCCAGCTCATTTTACAGAGGAGGAAACTGAAGCAAGCAAGGTTAAGTGACTTGGTCAGGGTCACACAGTCAGTAACTGTTTGAGGCTGGATTTGAATTCAGATCCTCCAGATTCCGTGCCCAGTGCTCTCTATCCACTGTACTACCTAGCCATCCTACAGTAGAGCTATACAATGCAGCAAACATTTGCGCTCTTCTAGGACTGGAGGAGATGTAGCATGAGATTATCTCTGCTCTAATGCCCTCCCTCATTCTATCCAGTCTGTATTCTGTTTGTACATTGTTGTTGGCATGTTGCGTCCACCGTTAGACTGTGAGCTCCTTCAGGGCAAAGACTGTTTTTTGTCTGTCTTTGTACCTCTTGTGCTTGTGCCTGGCACAGAGTAGGCACTTTATAGATGTGTATCTACTGACTGGATTTCGTAGTCTAGCTGAGGGAAGAAGACATGTACGCAGATAATTATAATACACAGTACATAATGATTGAGCTTTGTGAGTTCTGATGGGTGCCAGGTTGTTAAGAGTTGGATAGAATGGGGATCAGGAGCAGCTTCCTGGAGGATGTGGTATTTGAGTTGAGCTTTAAAGGATAGGTAAGAATTCAGTAGGCAAAGCGAGAATGGGCATTGTGGAAGTAGGAAACAACTTAAGCAAAGACAGGGAGGTTTGAAACCGTGGTGTGTATTTGGAGGGCAAAGAGTTGTTCATTTTGGTTCGAGCAGAGGCTTCATTGAGGGGAGTAAGTTGAGATAGGACTAGAGAATTAGGGTGGTAGGTGCCAGATTGAGGAAGGCAGCCTCCTTCATCTGCTCTCTGCTTTACTCAGACTGGCCTCTTGGCTGCTTCTCTACAAATCTCTGTTCTTTTACACAAGTGGTTCTTCTTTTCTAGAATATACGCCCTCCCTTCCTCCTCACAAAATCCCCAGATCCTCTCGAAACATATCTCAGGCATCACCTCCTAAACAAGGCCTTTCCCTTCCCTCCATTATTAGGACTCTCCCTCTTGGAGGAAGTTAGTGTTATGTTATGTATTAATTAGTTAATAAATATTTGTTTACTAAGTGGGGCAGCTAGGTGGATAGAATGCCAGGCCTAGAGTCATTAAGACTCTCTCCTGAGTTCACATCCAGCCTCAGACACCTACTGGCTGTGTGACCTTGGGCAAGTCACTTGACCCTGTTTGCCTCAGTTTCCTCATCTGTAAAATGAGCTGGAGAAGGAAATGGCAAACCGCTCCAGTATCTCCGCCAAGAAAATCTCAAATGGGGTCACAGAGAGTCAGACAGAACTGAAAAACAACTAAACATTTATTAAATGCCTGCTACGTGCCAAGTGCTGTGCTAGGGATAAAAAGTACCATGGTTAAAATAATCTCTACTTCAGAAAAGAGCAGGGGAGACAGCATAAAAGAAAATAGAGACAGAGTTATTCTTTACCAAGTAGTTTGGCAGGGAGGGCACTGCCAGTGGTGGAGATTAGGAAAGCTGTTGTGTAGAAGGGGGTGCTTGAACTGTCTTGAAGGAAGAGAAGGCTTCTGTGAAGTGGAGTCACAGGGAGAGTGCATTTCTGACAGCTAATGCGAAGGAGCCAAGATCGAGTTTCACGTGGGACCAGCAGAGGGAAGGCTAGTTTGGCTATACCATGGAGTTTAGGAGAGGGAGTCACGCCTAATGAGGCTGGCAAGATTGGTTGGGACAAGATTGTGAAGGGCTTTAAGATATTTAAAGAGTGGCTTTAAAAAAGAGAAGCATTTGTTTTATTCTAAAAGCAATAGGAAGCTACTGCAGTTGATTGAGAGGGAAAGTAGGTACTGTTATTATCTCCATTTTACTGTTGAGAAAACTGAAGCAAGCAGAGGTTCAATGACTTGTCCAAGGACGCGCTGCTGTGACACATGTGAGGCTGAATTGAACTCGCTGATTCCAAGCCCAGCATCACCTAACTGCTGAGAGTAGAGAATGGGTCTAAACCGGTTTCAAATCCCACCCCTCCTGTTCATTGCATTCATGGCAGTGGGCAAGTCACTTAACCTCCGTGAGTCTCAGTTTCTTCATCTGTTAATTGAGAAGGTTGGACTGGATAGCTTCTGAGGTCCTTTTCAGCATTAAATCTGTTTTCCTGTGACAGAATCTTAGGAAACACCCACAGTTAGGGGAGTGAGGTGGATGAGGAGCCCCCTAAGGAGACAGAAGAGTGGTGAGCAAGTGTGAGGAAGACCAAGAGAGAATCTCCAGGAGAATAGACACAGCAGACGGGTCGGGAAGGACGAGGTCTGTGAACAGATCATCACGTTTGGCGAAGAAGAGACTGTTGGTAACTTTGGAGAGCAGGTTCATTTGGGTGATGTTTAATTTATATTTATTCGTGCATTGATACCAGTCTATCGATAGATAAACATTTAGTAAGCCCTTTCCATATGGTCTAGGCATAGAGGTTAGAAAGACAAAAATTAAACATTCCCTGCCCTCAGAGAGCTCACAGTCTACGAGAATGAGGAATGGGGAAACCATAGGCCAATCAATCAGTAGACACAGAATACAAGCAGGTTAAATTTTTTCATTGCTCTCGGAGGAGGAAAGGCATGAACAGCAGCCAGGATCAGGAAAGGCTTCGTGTAGGCGATAGCCCTTGAGCTGAGTTTTGAAGGAAATTCAGTAGTGGCAAAGGTGTACATTCCAGATGTGGGAGACTACCTGTGCACAGGCATAGAGAGAGAGGAGTCGTATATTCGAGGAATGATGGGAAAGCCAGTTTGGGTAAACTGCAGAATGTCTGCAGTGGAATGATCTGTCTTCAGATGAGAAAGGTAGTTGGAGACCAAGGTATGAAGGGCCTTCACTGCAAAAACAGAGGAGTCTGTTTTGATCTAGAGGTCCTGAGAGGCCATTTGGATTATGAATCATGAGAATGCCATGGTCAGAATTGTGCATTAGGAAGAGGTGGAAGTAAGGGGAGCCTGAACCAGAGCATTGGCATGGGAGGCATCGTGGGGGTCAGCTGGACAGACTTGTTGATTAGGTTGATTGGGTATGGATTAAATGGATCATAAGGAGTTAAAGAGAACTCAGACATTGCAAACCTCATTGACTGGAAGGACTGGGATGCTCTTGATAGAAATAGGCAAGTTCAGAAGAGAGAAAAGATTCTGTTTTGGACATGTCAAGTTTGAGATACTCGTGTGACATTCTTTTCAAAATATCCTATAGGGAGTCAAGAGCATTTACTAAGCACTTACTGTGCATCAGCCGTGGTGCTAAGTACTGGAGATACAAAGTGAAAAAGCAAAAACAGTCCCTGTCCACAAGGAACTTACTTATTCTGTTTGGTAGCCTGCTTTCTGATGGGGGAAGAAAGCGTTGGAATTGAGTCCCAGGCAGAGAAGTTTGAATTTTAGTGGGCAATAGAAAGCCACTGAATATTTGTGAGCAGAGTAGGGACATAACCAGATTTATGGATAAGAAATATAGGGTGTCCCAAAAGGCTTAGTATAGCTTTAGTAGCTTAAAAGCCGAGCAGAGGCTTTTGGGACACCCTGTGTATAAAGTAGCTGAAGTGGAGGCAGGAGGATCTAAGGAAGCTTTTGTGTCTAGGCCTACGGTAATGAGGACGTCTTGTGAGGGATTCACAGAGAGGACAGCTATGAATGGTGATACACAGGTGGAATCCACAGGCCTTGGTATATCAGAGGTGAGGGAGAGAGAAACTCTGTGAGTAAAAATATGGGGGACTAGATGCCCTCTCGTGGTAGCACCACACCTCTCACAGACTCACAGAGTTGGCAGAGCCCTCAGAGGGCATCTAGTCCAACCTGTTCCTCAGCAGGGATCTCCACTGCAGCATCTGAAAAATCATTATCAGATCTCTGTTTGAAGCCTTCCAGTGACAGGGAACTGTTTAGGGCAGCCCGTTCCACATTTGGACAACATACCTTGCTAGCAATGCTTTCCTTACATCCCATCTAATCTGTCTCTTTGCAGTTTCCATCCATTGTACCTCAGATTAAACAGAGTAAATCCAGTTCTTCTACATCAGTCAGTCAGTCAATAAGCATTTGTTAAGTGCCTACTATGTGCCAGGCAGCACTGGGGATACAAAGAAAAGCAAAAGACACACGTCACAACCTTTCAGATAAACATTGATCTCCTCTTCTTTAATCTTCCCTTCTCCATCCCACTTCCTTTAACTGATACTTGTGTGGCCAAGCGTCCAGTGTGCTGACCATCTTGATCACATCAGTTCACATGTGCTCTGGTTTGTCAGCGTCCTTAACGTGGTGACCAAAACAGGACACAGTATCTTAGATGTAGTCTTACCCAGGTAGTTACAAGAAGACTGTCCCCTTCCTCATGCTGGATGCTATTCCTCTCTTTTATACAGCCCAAGATAGCATTAGCTTTTTCACTGTCATGTCACACTGTTGAATTACATTGAGCTTGCAGAACACTAAAACCTCTAAATCTTTTACATGAAAAATGTAGCCTAGCCACATCTCCCCATCTTTTTGCACAGCTGAATTTTTGAGCCCAATTGTAGGCCTTGACAATTATCTCTTTTCTATTTCATTTTATTAGATTTGCTGATTGTTCTAACCTATTAAGAGTCATTCATTCAACTAACAAGTAGTATTTTCTATGTGCAAAGCACTACTGTGTTAGGTGTTTGAGATACAAAGATGAAAAATATCCCAGTTCCTGCCTTCGGTGGCTTCCATTCTAGAGGGATAGGAGGTGGTGGTAGTATTAATGGA